ACTCGTCAATCGCAAAAACGTCATTCTTTTACAAGATAATGCGCGACCACATACAGCAAGAGTGACTCAAGAAAAAATTCTTGAGCTTGGTCTGTTTTACCACATCCACCTTACTCCCCAGATCTTGCCCCGACAGACTACCACCTTTTCTGTTCCTTACAAAACTTTTTCAATGGAAAAACCTTCAATTCTGAAGAGCAAGTCAGGCAGGCTGTCGAAAACTTCTTCCAGTCCATACCAACCACATTTTACAAGGAAGGAATTGATAAACTGCCAGGAAGATGGGAGAAGGTTATAGAGAATAGTGGTGAATACATAATAAATTGATATAATTTTGTTATTTAATGAGAGCAAAATAAGTGTCTGATAAAGAAACGGAAGTTACTTGTGACTCGACCTGATAGCTTCTTTGCTTACTGAAAGTACCCGTCGTCGAAAACGCGAAAGAAAAAGAAGAGGTCGTAGCTGAGTTTTATCGGGGAGCAGCGTTTCCGTGGCTCGTGTGCCCGGTAACTAATCGCACGGACCTCGGACAACGTTTCGTATAATTTCATCATTACGTCCGACTTGACGGGTACGGGCGCGAGACAGATTCGATGGTAATAATTAAAATCTTTCGGTTCAGCGGGCAACGCGGCGGACCGAGGTTCGCGAGCGGAACGCGTTTTATTCCCACCCGGGCAAAAAGTCACGCGGCACTTCGAAAAATCGGCTGAAATTCTCTGTAATATTCGTCACCGGGCTTTTTGCCGGTTCGATGTGCGTATAAAAGGACGCGAAATAAACTGAGATTAACGATACCGTTCGGAAAAATTTCTACCGTCGACGAGATTCGTCCTCTTGCCGACAAATTGTTACTTTATTACTTCATGGCGCTCCGGGTAGTTAATATTTTATACCTGCCCTCGCGGGAAGATTACTTTTCAATGCAATTAATGCCTTTGCGGGGACATCCGGATCGAAGCGTAATTCGATTTCGAATAGGATATTTTACTTATTTATTTGTTTATCTATATTATATAAAATGAAAGGCCTGACTCACTGACTCATCAACGCCCAGGATAAGCTTTGCACAGAGGTTTCCTTTATGATGTATACAAGGAATAAGAACCCTAAGGGGGTGGAAAGAGGGTTGCAACGTTTGTATGGGACATATTTTGTTGGTTGCCGGATTTGCTTCATACTTGGTCTTAATACTCTTTGATATAATTAATCAAACACTTATTCCAGTTTTTTAAAAAATTCAACCTCTGAAGGAGTGAAAAGGGGTTGTAACGTTTGTATGAGGAATACTTTATTTGTGGTCGGATTTGCTTCAAACTTGGTCTTAATGCTCTTTGATACGCTTATTTCGCAATAAGGTTGTCTTATTTCCGTAAATGGATCTAGAAACTTCAAAATTAACATGTAAGTACTTAATTATTATCTTATCACTAAACCGTTGCAATGGTGTAAGTACGCCTAAATATCGGTATGGATATCGTTATGAAGGTTTCTTGGGACGTTAATTACGAAAATGGTATCAATTTTGAAATGTAAGATGGCGACATGACATAAAATTAAAACTCTATAGAGGTAAATGGGGGTTTAAAAGGTTTTATGGAGAAACAATATCTATTTTCGAGGGAACTAAACGGTTTCCTGTGCGAGCAAAACCGCGGGCAAAAGCTAGTTACTAATATAAACGGTAGCTGTTCGATGCGGTATTTTCGAGTAATCTGGTCGGAGGCTTTCCTCGACTAATCTTTTACATTCGATTAGCAGTAGAAAAGTCGTTGGGTAGGATAGAATTTTGAGTTTGCCCGGAAAGGGTCAGATCGGTTTCGACTCGGCGTGAATTACAAGACAACGAGCGATCAGATACACGAAAACTTCCGTCGTACAGAAAAATTACAAGCCACCGGGCTGGGCGTGAAAAAGATGAATCGCATCGTGCCGCCACCGCTGTTTTACATGCGATACGCCGATAGACTGCATCCACGGAGGAAATAACTCCGGTATATGGCGTCGATAAAAGTTTCGTGGTGGGCATGTTAATGCATTACAAACACGCTGACAATACCGGCCGGGAGCGTTCCGCGCGGCGTGTGCAACGAAAGCATAAAGACGCAACGAATGGGACGGAAAAAAAAGGGAGGTATCTGAAATTGAGATTCTATAGCCAGATCAAAATCAACTGGCCGCTCGATACTACTTCCTCGACTGTAAATCACCGCGGTCACGACTTATGCCACAGACGAGGTATACGAGTACACCTTACGAGAAACAGAAAATGAAATTACAGAAACATATCCGGCCACAAATCATATTTTCGGTAAAGAATTTTTTCCTCGAAAGTGCGTAGGATTTCTGGGGTATGAGTATTCACCAAAAATGATTGTAATTGTCTCCTGCAAACAAAAATAATTTTTTTAGAACGATATGAAATTTTTTAATTTCTACGAAAAACTTGACCACTTACTGAATTTTTTTCTCAAAAGTGCGTAGGATTTCGGGGATATGTCTATTCACCAAAAATGATTGTAATTGTCTCTTGCAACCAAAAATAATTTTTCCAGACCGATTTGAAAATTTTTAATTGTGTCGAAAATTTGTCCACCTACTCGAATTTTTTTCTCAAAAGCGCGTAGGATTTCGGGGATATGTCTATTCACCAAAAATGATTGTAATTGTCTCTTGTAACCAAAAATAATTTTTCCAGACCTATTTGAAATTTTTTAATTTTGTCGACTTTGTCCACATACTCGAATTTTTTTCTCAAAAGTGCGTAGGATTTCGGGGGTATGAGTATTCACCAAAAGTGATTGTAATTGACTCCCGCAACAAAAAATAATTTTTTCAGAATGATTTTAAATTTTTACAAGTTTTGTAGTCGAACTTTACGTTGTGGCGCTCTTGATTAGTTTTTTTACAGAGAAATATAGGGATTTTTATGAACAACGAATTATCAATCTGTCCGAAAAATGAGAATACACTGTAAGGGAACAACTGGACTCCAGTAAATTACAAAGCGATCGGAAAACAAACGACTGCAGAAAACGTGGAAAAAATGGTCTCCTTTGAAACGTAAACAACGACAGCAATGACCTGTGGAGTATTTTCGTAGCCACGTATCGTACGTTTTCTCGAAGGAAACGATAATTAATATCGTGTTTAACTTGGATGGAAGCGACGAAATATCGTCTGTTCGTTGCTCCGGCAGATGTTTCTCTTTTTCTGTCGTCGTCGTCGGTCGTTATCGAAACTCCTGAAAACGAGGAACGTTTCTCGTCGCGCGATCGTGACCGGGACGAGGCGGAGGAAAAAAGGGAGAGGAGAGAAAAAAAAAAAATATTGTTGTAATCGCGAAGGCACGTCCGCGTTTCGCGCCAAGACACGCGATGTAGCGATTTTCCACTCGGCAAACTGTTCCCTTGTATTGACTTTCTCTCATCGAGATGCACCGGAATAAAACGGAGGAAAGCAGTCGATTCCGCTCGACTCCGGCTGCACAGAGAGCGGCTATTATTACAGGCTTTTGGGTCCAATAACTCTTCGGCTCTCACTTGTTGCTGTAGTCGTTGTACGGGGGGGCATCGCTGCGTTTCCCTTTTGAGAATTTTTCACCGGGCGAATCGGAAAGGAGAGGACGGGGGTGGGCTGGACAAAATTGAAGAGGTCGAATCGACGAGCAGTACGATCGCGATGAAACTAGGGTGAATTCGTAAAGTGCTTTTAATCTCGCTATATCCTCTTGCAGAGAAATAAACGTTTTCGAGTTAACTCGTGAATTTTTCCAGCAACGGCACGATATCACTGTTATAATTTTATTTTTCATCCCGATTCGTTTTTACGGACAAGCGACAACGTTCCTTCGTTATTTGTACTTCGCGATATATGACACGACTGCGTGTATCGCTCATAATGGATGATCGTCTCGTAATAATCACGTAATGGCTTATCGATTTCACTGTCGCTTCAATTAGAGTCGTCGATGTTACTTTAGAAATTGGAACTTGGTTCGAAAGCGATTTATACCGTTAATTTTATTAGCTTCGATAGCGATATCAAACTAATAAGAGTAAACTTTCCAAGAAAGCGAAACCAGAAAACACGAACGTTTACGAGAGGTTTGCTGTTTAATTTTCGATCTTGCAACAGAGTTGAAAGTTCGCGAAAAGTCTTTTGTTGTACGGGCTATTATTTGAAATAATAAAGTCGTTCCGCCAAAAGGTCGAAGCGTTTCCGTTTCACCCCAAACAGCGGATATTTTCATTTTCGCTTAAATATTTAACGAAGACCGGTGATCAGCGGGACGGGAAAGATTAATTTTTCAAAGAGGTGGTTACAAACGCCGCTTCAATCCCGTAAATGCCATCAAAATTCCACAGGAGCCGGCACTCGATATCCAGTCCTCGATATCGCGATTCCAACCATCCATACAAATCGGATTTTACCAAATTGGAGTACAATTTTCACGAGCGTGGATCCAGGATCGTGGCGCATGTGCAAAGGGGGAGGGGAAAAAGAGCAAGAGAGGAAGACGCTTCTAAGTCGGTTGCGGATGATGAAGCGAATCAAGTAACAGTGGTGGCTTACGTGCGATGCAGCCCTAAACCATCGCCCAGGGAGCATTTCCTAGAAACGCGTTAGCAACGAAACGTCTGTGCTTAGAATTTTCAAGCGCGTTGAATTACATCCCCGTCACGGAATCAATGGTACCTGAAATACGTAAGCGTCGTCGACGTCGTTATTCCGCGCGCTAGCTCGCGCCAACGGTTAAACACCTCGTGGGAATTTTAATTTATTCCGTTGGTAATTCAGCGACGAAAGACTGGTAAATTATTCGGGGCGTTACGCATTTTAAGCATTCAAAAACGCATTTGCCACGAAAACGTTTACATCCGGAACAAAAACTATTCGGTATTGCGATGTTAATTCTTCTATTATCGTTGCAATCAACGTCGCGTCTACCAAGAAGAGAAAAACAATTTTTATCAAATTAACGGTTTATTGCAACTTGTACAGTTTGTATCGGATATGATTTAGGTCGAGTATTTGAAATTATCTATATTTTAATTAGCTACTAACGCTTGACGCAAGTCATCGATCCGAATGTAAGCGCAGTTTGCTCACAATTTTTATTCTTAAATTAATTGAGCGTGTTTCAACATTTACCAACTTGATCGCCCAATGTACGCCTGTTTGCCGACTAAATTTTACCTATTTATATACAAAGGACGTGGACGTCATTTTTCCCACTAAGTCATCGTTTCTGGTTTTTAAGTGGTGAGCTCAGTATGTAGTCGTTTCTGGTTTTGGAGTGGTGGGATCAGTAGTTGTTGGTTTTTGAGTGGTGGGCTCAGTAGTTGTTGGTTTTGAAGTGGTGGGCTCAGTAGTCGTTTCTGGTTTTGGAGTGGTGGGATCAGTAGTCGTCTCTGGTTTTGAAGTGGTGGTTGTAGTCGTCGATGGTCGTCGAGTGGTGGTTGTTTTTGCCGTTGTGGTTTTAGCTGTGGTCGAACGCGTGGGAGTCGGAGTGTGTTCGGTAGTTGGTTTCTTCTTGGGCGAAGCAAAAATAATACATTTCATGACAACTGCCCAGCTCGGTCTTGAAACTCCCATTACTTCTACGGAGCTGTGTCCAATACCACCTTCGATGATTTTGATACCCATTATCCACGGGTTTGGAGTTGTTACACTGATGAAGGAAATGTGTTGACCACGGTGGGCAGTCGCATTGCACATACCTATCTGCGGTCTATGAAACACTCTTGGCTGCAAAAACAAATATACGCATTAGAAACAAGTTTTGTGCACCTAAACTTTATCTTTCACGGATTACTATATTATTTACTGGTTGTTACTTAAGATCAGGCAAATTACCTTGAAGATGTCCTTCTTTGTGATTAGAACGTCACCCGGCTGACGTTTTCCAATAATTAAGTTGTTTCCCCATACGCAAACAATCAGAGATATGCATGTCGCCAAAAAAATTACGTTACGCATGTTCGAAGATGTTCCGAGCCTCTCTGGTAGAATAAGTGTCACAAATGTATGCTTCTCGCAAGGTATCTGCCACCCAATGGAGCACGACATTATTTATAGCGACTCCTTATCGATCGTCGCGAACAATTCTCCGATATCTGACGGACCACACGAACTCGAAGATTTCTATCGTTGAACGGTGACAACAACTTATGTAAAGATATTTATCTTCCCTTTCTTCCGTTTTCTTTGCGAAGGCGACTGATACTCCTAATAACGTTTGCAACGATACGAATAGGTTTTGCTTATTGTTCTCAAATAGACTAACATATAGATGCACACGAATGCAAGTAAAAGATATGTATAAATTTTACGAAAACTTCGAAGAAGGAGAATTCCTTTCGTGGAACCAGGAAACGATTTTAAATATTTTTGCGGCACTTTTTGCGTTCTCATCCTCTGTCCAAAGTCGCAAAAGTGTAAAGTACAGGTATATAATCGACATCCGCTTATCGAGTCAAAGATTCGTTCCGTTTCGACTCGACGCGAAATTCGGCTCGATAGTTGTCGCTATTGTCGAAAACTGTGTCAGTGCCGTGACAAATGAAAACCTATTACGTACGAGGGAAAGAAAAACGGCTCGCAGCGGCGGGCAAACGCAAGCTCGCGACTCCCGCTGTACGCAAATTATTTTTCCTTCGCGTGGTTACACAATTTCGTTTTGCAGCATGTGTGCGCGTGCACTTTAATTTCTCCAGAGATTTATGCAAACGACTGCTTTGAGCGTGTGCCACGTAATAACACGATCCATGCACGACGCAACATCGGTTGCCCTTTCTCGATCCTCCCGGTCGGTCGGAAATTCCGCGATCTTAACGCAAAAAGGATTTATGCTCGCAAATCCACCCTCGTGTCGCTCGATCCAGACTTACGTCGCGTTTTCGTTGGCGTATGGAATATTAGGAACGCGATAGAGAAACGGTTTCGGCCGTCCGGACGTTAAAAATGTATAGAAATAAATAATAGACGTTACGATAAAAGAAACTTGAACGGAAAGACGGAGATCCAGTCCAGCGGATGAACGTGTCTCGAATTTTCTTGGGAACACGATCGACGGCATGGACTCGCGATATGTTTCAGTCGATCGAGCTGCTTCTCGGAAAATTGCAGATTTCTTTGACAAATGCGACCAACGCCGCGAAAAATGGACGAAAAGAAGCGGTATTGCGCGTGGCTCTCGCCGATTTTGCAGAAACGCGAGCCCGAGCGCGATCCATCTTCCGGCTACAAAAAATCATTGCGTCCGCCAGTCGTCGTTCATCACGAACCAGCGAGTTTTTAATTACCAGGCCAGGTGTAATGATGACGAACGACTCGCAATCCTTTGTCCGCTACTTCGATTAGACTGATTATTTCGATGACCTAATCTTTTACAGGAAACGCTTGCAAAAAGCCAACCTTTCTACTAGACGATAAGTAATGGCAAAATACGCGTAGCTTCGTATCTTTCTTTCATTTCAGATATGATTATCGTTGAACACGTTTACGAGTATCGTACTATCCAAACGTTACGACTGATTTGCTTTCAGGGAATCGAGTCTTTTCTCTGAGAACCTTCGTTCTCGGGAACAAAAGACTACCATTGGCCGTATATCTCGTCCGATTTTCCGGATATCCTGGGAAAACGGTCCGGAATTAAGCCGACGATCCGTCTGGACGACACCCTCGGCCCTTTTCATCGACCTGCAACCAGCGATTAGGGAACCGTGCGTGAAACGAGCGTATCGCTTAATGAAAGAAGCGATCGTCGGTCCGTGACGCGCGATTTTCTCGCATCGATCGAAGGATTTTATCCTAACCCGTCGGGAATTGTCCTCGAGCCGTTGCGACGGTGCTCGTTGGATCGATGGACGTTCGATATAGATCATATCACGATATCACATTATTTACCTTAATAGTACCAACTATAATCTTATCGACTCGTTAAAAATTCTGCTATCGCCTCGATCTGCGTACGTTCGAGAAGTCGAATATCTGGCAATTTGTCGATCCAAATAGCTTGCCTAATACATTACCAACGAACATGCGATATAACGGTCATTACACGAACGGTGCAGTCGAGAGAGTTGATTGCATTGCCACACACTTCAAATCTGGTTATACTCGTTATATTCTACGTAAATCTTTCGATTCTAATTTTAAGCAATTGCTCGTTGTACGATGTTACCGCAGGTTCTTTGGGGTTTCGCGCAAAAGTATGTAACCTTTGTTGAACGTGTAAATGTATCGATGGTACAGAAACGCGTCTCGACTCCGTCGCTAGACTGAAGAATGTCACCGTACAGCGCAAATAATTAGCAGCGCCGGTCGCGTCGGTAAGATTTTTAATAGTCGCTCCGGAAACACGTCGGATTAATGCGTCCGCTCGTAATGAGAAGCTGGGACAAAGTAACCCGAGGAAACTCGAGCCCTTTGACGCTTCAGCTGCCCGCTTCTTCGTGCAAATAAAAAGTCAAACGCGCAATTCTCATCGCGAGATCGCTACATCGCGTGCAGTGAAATATGATTAATTATACTCTCGACGTTGGATTTGCTTATCCTACTACCGTACGACAGAATTGCAGGTAGTTTACGGTGGATAAAAAGGGACGCACGGTTTCGTTAATGAGTAGACGATGCACATTATGATTGTTTGTTTAAACGAGCGAGCAATCTTACCGCCGAACTAATTCTCTTATTACAGACATTATTACTACTTCGAAAACAAACGTATCGATCAATGTTTCGAAGACGATTTCTGAAATTTACGATCCCGAAGATAAAAAGTAACAGCGGTATTATTATACTGCTCCGGTGAAATTGTGTTCTTATCTCCTACGGGCGAGTTCTTAATTAAGCGTCCGGATAATCGGTAGTCGGGGATTGACGTCCGTATAATCGGGAATTCCGATAATACGCGTTCTAGGGTGACCCGAGGGACAGACGGCGAACGTTACCGAGAGAAAAGGGCTGGATTACGTGGGATTCGCGTGAAAGGAGAGAACGCTGGAATTCAGATTCAAGTTCGGGTCCTCGTTTGTCACGGAAAGTGCCCCGCAGAGGTTCCTCTTGGGGATCTATAGTTTGAGACAGCTCTCCTAGACGGACCTGGACTGACCCGGACGGAGCATCCATGCCCCGTAGATGGTTCCGATTCTACGATCGTAGGAATCAAGAATTTAGAAAGTTTGTCGCGTCACCCTAACGCGTTCGAGGATCTTGACGGGGGTTGACGAGAGCTATTATGCAAATGCGCAGCCTCCATCGGTGTCCGACGAACTCATTCCAAGTCGTGTTCGTCGTTAAGGGGCCTCCTGCTATCCGAAATCATGTCGGGGACTTGATTTCTTTTCTTTGTCGTTTGCCCTTTAGAATATCGTGCTAGACGTCGCCGATGCTTTCAGCTTCTTCGCGAGCCTGTCTTGCTGTATCGACGAGCCCCAAAAATCAACGGCCACAAATCCCCGGATTCGTACATAAATTTTTATTATCAGATCTTAGGGTAGTTATTTACTTTAGCGATTCCTCACCAATTTCGATGACCTTGAAATATGTTGTCAAGATCACTGTGTTATGAAGATTTTTTTCGAGATGTTTTCGAGATATTTGCAAAAATAATTTTAGGGCTGAATTAGCCTCGGGTAAACTTTATTCTTTATTGTTATTATTATTGTCGTTATTATTAACAGAAATTGGAAAAATGTCTGCCATTATATAAAAAAATCCAGGTATTCTTGTATTAACACTAGATTTACGGAAGCCGTCAATTTGACGGATGTTTGATTCCATATTTAAAATTGCAGAACGCGTAAATATTATTTTTTAACAACTTATGTTGAATTTTATTGATGCAATGGCATGAATACATATTCTGATTAAAAGAAAAATCGTATTGTAAGGTAATCGTCAACATGAAAGGTATCGATAAATATACGTGCGATGAATGCCCGTAAATCTAGTGTTAAAATCATGACGACCAACGACAAATAATGTATACTGTATCAAGTTAATATCGGATAATATTAATAAAGAAAATTGAAATAGAAGATGAATGTAATAAACCTAATCCATTATATTAATTACTAGATAGAATAGTAAAGTTTAAGTAAGGTTTGGGTATAATTTGTTTATGACCGCCTCGACGTATCTATAGAAACAATAAACAATCGGCGATTCAACGCTCACACACACACTGCCATAATCACGTACGAATAGGCAGAATTGATCGTAGTTGCAGCGATCTTTTTGAAGAAAAACTCGAAAATTAAGGCCGAGCGGCGGTTATATGTGTAGAGAAAAATTCTTCATAACCTTGACAACATATTTCAAAGTCATCGAAATTAGTGAGGAATCGCTAAAGTAAATAATTACCGATCTTAGAGAAAGAACGAATCAATTTTAAAATTTAGGGCATTCGATAATGTCGTAACCACGGAAGTTTTCCCCCTTGCGCAAGTATTCGTGGCTGATACTTTCCACGGATCCATTGAAAATCGAACGTGCACGTTCGATCGGGTTCCTTCCGCGCGCGAGTTCGCTTGTCCGTAATCGAGACGCGCGATTTTGAGAAATACCATAGATTATGCATCGGCGTTTCTCGTTGAATAGTTCCGTGTTCAGTGATTCGTGAACCGCTATCTGGTCCACGTGACAGCACGGCCCTTGGTCGAACCTGCGGCTCAATAATAGTTCTAACCGTACAACTATATACGCGGGCACCTATGGAAATGCGGGTACGTACGCCGTGTCCCCGAAATATTCCGATTTCCGTTTGTTCTATCGACGCATCGGACGTGTCACGCGAGATTTCCTCGCCTTTTTTACGCGCTGCTTGCTTTGTTTTTATATCAACCTTTTCGCGCGTCGACTGTCACGCGAATTTCAGCCGGTGATTTCGCCATATTCTCCGATCTGCTCGCCGCGGAAATGAATATTCGGACCCTCGGGGTTTCCGTTTCTTATGCACCGTTATGGTGTTTCTATATAACGAACGCACCAAGGAACAACCATTTCCTTAATCAATTTTCAT